AACTCTTGTGTCGACAGTATCGGGGAGACGGTGAATGTGAGCGGGTCTACACGTGCCTCTCACGAACTGGGTCTCGCTCCACCTAGTCACCAAGCAGCCAAAGTGCGATGATTATAGGCTGACGTACAACCTTGGGCCTACTACAATGACGCCGGTCAATGGCATGAGTAGCGTGCGCTATTACACTGGTTACTATCGTGTATTCTCATCTAGTCCAGATCGTCCCGGGCGGATTCTGCGTACGTTGAGCTACTGTGAGTAGGCAGAGTATGTTTGAACCGTGTTAAACAGGGCTATGACAATCTGATGAAGTAGCATTCATAGGTGGTCGACCGGATCGCTGCAGTATTCGAACGAGTAATTTCAGGAGAAATCAGCCGACGCTGTGTCTCCCCATCTGGGTGTGGAGGTCTGCCGCATCCTGGTGGCCATTCACGAAGAGAACAAGCAGCACTGAACAATCAAAATTTTGACGAGTGCTTTCATGCGTGAAGAAAATCTTGGAATTTCTCAATCACCCTCTCGCATGCCACCCGAAGATAGGTTTGAATTTAGACTGGAGGCATCCATTAGGCGCCGGTGGGTGAAGCCGAAAAACCCACTAACCCTGCATGGAACCTCTGGAGGTATTCCTCAAAACTGGCACATTTCTGGGTAAATTATTTACATCAAACGAACGGAAATATGATTTCGGGTGCGGATGGCCCAGTGTGCATTAGTAGGGAGAAGGAAGTACGGCTTTCCGCTTCGCAGTCAGGCGTAACGATCTCCCTCCACCCTTTTCAGCACTCAAAAATTATTTGGGCTTACAGTACAAGGCTGTCCTCAGAGGGCCTACTAGTAAACCAAGTGATCGAATACTTACTGTGCCATAGATACTGTGTTTTCTAACCTCGAAGTGGGTTTCTGGAGAACAGCACATTGTCCCTAGTGGGCATACTGCATCTGCTATTGGTCAACGCTTTTTCCATGGAAGCGCTGACTTTATTTTAAAATTTTGCCCGTGCTTCATTCGCTAAACTAGACCCGAGGCCAAAAAGGCAATAGATGGGTGCAGTGTTGTCCTCAATCCTCTACTCATAACCACAAATGCGAGCCAGAAGAAAAATCCTCGGCTCGGTTTTTACAGAGCACATACGAACTAGTTGACCGTTTGGGCCCCAGTTTGCGACAGAGAAAACTTCATGAATTTTGCGTTTTTTTGGTCAAGAGACTATTTACTCCCTGCCTTACGGGTGGTTTCGAGCTAAGTTCCAGGAGAGTTAATGTTAAGCCACGGGAATAGGCATCCCCCCGTAATTTAACCTAATACAAGCGCTATTACGGGTGGGACTATATTCCTGTCTCCGACCTGTAATTGCACCGTGGCCCTGACACCTCACGAACCATCACGAACTAGATGTAACA